ATCTTATGAAATAGCGAACACAAGTACGAAAACGAAGCAGACCAACGGCTCCGGTAGCCGCCGAAAATGCACAGGATGGAAGCAGTGACTGCAAAACGGGGATTCGTTAGTTCTTACGAATGGCAAAACTGTGATGATGTACGATGAACAGAATATAGTAACGTCGCAGCATGTGCATCCTTACCATGCTACTTTTCAATCTCTGATTCATTCGGTTGTTATGTATGTTAAAATCTGATCAAATGTCCTCCGTTCAGAAAATATCAACACATGATTTTAAGCAAATTTACTGCCCCAGAATTCCCAGATCTTGAGAAAATGTAAGCGGCCACACGAAGATAATTTCTTTCCATTGTCTCGCATCATCTGTTCAGCACAATATAGGCATTTTTAGCCGTCATTCTTCGTTCAGAAGGTAGACACTATCACGAAAAGAGTTCCGTACCCTTTTCAAAATAGTCGTATAATTATAGACCGCGGACCCCAATTATTCTGCCTGACCAGCAGAGAATCAGAATGCATAATGCACCAAAGCGTTCGAAATGCAGTACTACAGGCGATTGTCATGAACCCCTAAAAACGACCCCAAAAAATATGACTTAAGCAACATTACATTCAACGCATGCCACTATAATGCATGCTAGAATGGAAAAAATGGAGACTGTCTGGAGAAAATTTACAGTATAAAGCGTTATATGGCTCCATTTTGAGATCGAGATCGAGAAGAAGACCAAAACAACTATGAGACAATCTTAGCTTCGTTCAAGTCACGAGGGTCGCACAGTACACTGAATGAAGGACACCGCAGATCTCAGAGAAATGACAACTCGTGCCGCTTGAGGAAATAGTGAACGGCAAAAGAAACAGTTAATGTATGACCACAACGTAGTGACCGTACCCATATTCAGCATTCTAGCAATAACTCGACTGCACAAAAGTTTAAAGAAGTGATCGGTTGCGCGCAGTCGGCAGAGGAAAACGATTATGGTAACCTTTGAAATAATACACCTAAATCTGACGATAAAAGAAAATCGTACTTGTCTAAACCCTCACTCAACGATTCGAACACGGCAGAGATGCACACGTCTGCGAACCGTTCAGACAGCATTTTCGACGAAAAGCCTAGATATGTACTTACGATAATGAAGTTAGCACTTTACACAGTGTTGCAGTTAAAGCTCATCACTCACCGAATGCAAAGCCCCCTGCATTCCACAGAGGCGAAAGTATAGACGGCCGAACGCGTCTATCGATCAGCAAGTCGTCGAAGCGAGCAATAAAGTCTTTCTCGCGTTGCAGCTGTTTCTAAAATGTTCCAAAACCAAGTGAAAACAATCGTTTTGTAAATAACTAAATTAATCTTCAAATTATTACACGCTAGAAGTTGCTTAGTCGGTAGAGCGTTAGATTCACAACTAAAAGTTCAGGGTTTCGACCCCAAGCCAGGTCACTCGCCATTCTTTCTTCCACGGATGATAAATGAGTACCGCTCTGTGAGAAGGGCATAGGAGACTGCACACTATACCATAGGCATAGCTGACGTAATCTCTGCACTTAAAATAAGGCATTCTTCGTTGACGGGATGAAAATGGACATCCGCGTACCACCATTAACTTCATGAAAAGAAGGAACGAGAAGTCGCTCTTTCACGAAAGTGTAAAGAGACCGACATTAAGACGGCTACGATCTTTCTTTACCCTTCTTCAAGAGAGTGATAAATGCAACCTCAGTTCAGAGCAACGACGGCATGATGCACAATTACTATAGCCGCCTTAAGCTCCACTTCCAATATTTTGACAGCAATGCTGTTTTTGCCGGTATCACCATCAGGCATAAGCATTATACAGCAGACATTATTCCATACTGCCATTCTGTGTATAAGGTATATTTCGGAGTCTAAATTTTTTCACATGTTTCCTTCGTGTATTAATCTGACCAGTGGCTCTCAGTCTATCCATTGAAGTTTGCGATCCGAAAGTTCCTTCTCCGTGACAGATCTGGTAACTCCGGCTATCAGAAGCTCGCTAGTCTACCGTACCGTTTGATACCCGATATGCCCTTGCGGTCACAGCAGTCGCTTAGAAATACACAGTTTATTGCATTTCAATTATTGCATGCAACTCAGTACTTTTACCGTTCGCTGTCGACGATGGAGACAGCGAAAATAAATTATCGAGGTCTCTAAGATACAGGGGTCAGGTTTATATTCTGTGTAGCGTCAAAACGCTCGCCATTACTTTTGACGTAGATACAGGGGTCAGGTTTATATTCTGTGTAGCGTCAAAACGCTCCCCATTACTTTTGACGTTTTAAACATGAGCTACTGTTGTACTATGGAAATATGTGCAAGTTTCCAGAACCACGATTGTTTGCCGATGTACCCAACACTAGCAGCAGCCCAGAATAAGGCGTCTGATTTAGGGCATTTAAGCTCTCTTCAAATAATAAAAGGCACTTTAGTATCTACTTCAGTTTCATATATGCATGGAGACTTTTGTTAACAGCTAAGAGGTACCAGAACTACTGACATTAAATCATCTTATAATACTAAGCAAGCACTTAATATAGTAGTACACAGTACTGCAAATCTTACCATCACAACTTCGCCACGTATCCTATCGCTGGCAGCCATCTGCCCCTTCAAAATTGCTGCCACTGCCGTGATACATGCCTGATTCGCTCGAATGATTTTATGCGATGCATCCGCAGTGTTACAACAAGACGTGCTCTGAAGACGAGCAGCAGTAGAGAATGCGTTCGATGCTCTGCAGACTCTTTGGGCCATGAGTCGACAGGAAAGCCTAATAAGTATTCCATTATTTTAAGAGAAATGTCAGGTTATCATGTTTTAAAACTCATGCGCTCCCCAAATTCAGATGTTTTCAGGAGAGAGAAATTTTATGGTCGATCGTATATCGACATGCCATTAATATGAAGAGTACAACAGAACGATTTGAAATCTCTCTCACTCGGCGCTCCATTTTAAGGGTAGTGACCATGATCGGCTCTCGAATCTGTTTCGATATCACAATTCCAATTAATAAGCAGAATGTAACAAGTTAAAAGAGAGACAGGAAGAAGAGTAGATGACCTGAAGCAACCAAATGTTTGCTTTCAGAGACGACTAAAGATAGCGGCCCTTAATCATCTAATCAGATTTTTGTTTAGGTAGAAAATCCTGGACCATAACGAAACAAATCGTTCAGCTTTTGTTGACGACCGCCTTTTCAAGCATCAAGAATGACTCTGCAGACGATAACATCAGACTCTGAACTGAAGGGTTACACCGCAGTAGGATCTATCGTGAAAAGGAGGACGTTACATAATCCGCTGAAATAACCGTGCAGACCGCGTCTGCTTTTCCTAAAACTCCAAGAGAAATTCCTGTAATATCGGCCTGACGAATGTCTGTAGTGAAGCATAATAAATTCTGCAATGCCAATTTAATATACAAACAAAGCAAACAGTGCATAAGTTCTACATGAAAAACAAGACAGAAAGTTAGAGAAAGAAAGTAAAGTTATCCCAGATCATTGAGAGTAACATAACTCTTACAGAGCAAAGCAAGGAGGCGAAGCATGAGTGCTTTCAAAGTGCTAATGAGTCCTTCACTGCAACACGGCGTCGTCTCGTTTGTGATGTCAAACACTGCTACTGACATGCTAGGGTGATATTATTGGGAAAACAGTAAAATCTGTAAAGTAGCTAGAGAGGATGAAGGCGATCCACAATCCGAGAAGAATCACAGAACTTCACTAAGCACAGAACACTTACTGCATCCATCAAAATGTCAAGGACCGTTACACCGTAACAACCGTTTCACAGAGAAATTGATCATCTTCAGTAACTGAGCCTGAAATTCATAATCTCAAACCCGTAACTCTGCTGTTACCAAGAACCTATTCTTCTCCACTCACAAAAGAGGAAATTCAAAGGGTCTAGCCAAATATCAAGGCGAAGACCTATGGAATGGATTAAAGTTCCAAAAGTTAATTAATGGAGCCGATCTATACACCTAATATACCGCTGAAGTGAATAAAAGTTCGAATGCTTCGCAATTAATTATGGAGGACTACGTAAAAAGTGAGTCTATTCTCTATCAGGCGTAAATATACTCAACAAAACCAGCAATTTGGAGTTGAGACTGAGTCAATTTGACAAACTGCTTGAGCATAGACTCTACATTTCAGCCTGCTAGAAATACAAAATAACACAGATATCGATCGAAAACAAACATACAAAACGAATGAACAAGTCAGAAGCAGCTCTGCGTTCAGAGACGAACTGATCACTGCACAATGCTCTAACCGTCACCTTACAGCCAAAACGCTGAAAAGCTGAGAATGTAGTTGGCATCATAAATCTGAAACTTACTGCTTATCTAAGCGTGAAATGGTGATTATCACAATCCGCCATGCTACGCATGCAGTGATTCAAACTGGCTTCAGAACAATGCAGGCGGAATCGAACCTCTTTCAGCAATGCAGCAGATATCGTACACATAATACCAGTTTATTAATGTCAAATATTAGACTGGATAGCTTTGCTGACATTACAGTGCGTTTACGTTTCCAAGAACTTTCATCCCGTGAGAGCCGACCAAGAGGCGTGAAAGAGTAATAAAGCTGGTTCCAAAGCTAGGAAAACCAAACCAACCACCGCGACACGCAAAACATCTTTCGACGAGATGCAGGGTCATTCCAAAAAGTGACGCCCAAATGTTCTTCCTCACGCAATGAAACGCAGTCACATTCGTGCACGTGCGCTTACCTCAGACCTAACGTCCCCCCGTAGATGTGCAATTTAGACATCCTACGGAGGCCGTAACGCGTTCATGGGGAAAGATTGAACGAAGTGGTTGCAAACATGTCCTCCTTTGCCGAACGGGCGCGATGACTTGTTAGAGCTGACCTAACAATCGAAAGATCGATCGCTCAGCAAGCTATTCCATTTCGTACGTACTATCCGATAAGCTCAGCGTATGGTTTCAGTTTTCATTCTCACGTCTGGGATAATCTGCTATCTACCTCAGAAGAATGAGGGCGGATGATTTTCGAAAATTGCGATTCGAACTCGACTACGCAGAAATCTTACTATCACATGCTCGTTCCCAATACAATAAATCGTCATCAGGTGGTGTTGTATTGCTGTTGTTGATCATATGTGGCATCCTTGAAAGCCTAGAGTCTGCTTACGATTTATGATGTGCGTTCATCTTCATTCATTCCATTTTGATATTAGGAGCTGCTAGCTGCGCTGACGAAGGAAAGAATTGTCATCGACAGCGGATCTCCGTTTAGTTTTGCTTGCATGTAATGGGTTGGTCACCAATCTTTCGCGGTCCATGTTTCGATTCTCACGGAAACAGCTGACGAGTTAACGAGCAAGTGAAGCTTAATCGATTCGCTGCAAATAATCGAATCACGAAAACCGTCCGTCTCTCAGCACCTTCGACACGCCGATGAAGCGGGCTAATACCAAGCGTCGGTCATTTTTGTGATCGAACCAATTAGTTTCGCAACCGGAGCAACCAAGCTGTAGCATGCTGTTGTTCCTTGTCAGTACAACCGATTCCAGTTCGTAAAGCATAATTGATCTGACGTTAGTGAACTGGAATCGGATCTTGGTGGTAGTTGCTATACCTCCTTGAGTCCAAACATTCCTAAGGCTATTGAAAATGAATGACGAACGCAACCCTTCTGTTCAGTCCCTGTGTACAGCTTTCATCTATCGAGGTGATGACGCAAAGATATTTAAACTTCGACACTTCTTCATTGGTAAAGCTATCATGGGGCACCTTCGGTTCCACGGAACCTCCTGAGGTCCTCATAACTTTTACCTTTCTAGGGTTCAGTCGGATGCCTGCTTTCGTTGCAGCTTTATCTGAAACACCAATAACGTCAAAACGTCATATTCTAACTTTAAAAGAACCTTAGTTAATTCTACCTTATCTTAAAAGTTTTGGCAAGAAGTTGCAAAGGTTACTCAATACTAAATACAATATTTATGTTATATGTAAAAGCTCTAATAAACTTAAAGCATTACTAAGTAATTCGGAGAATAACAACTCTCTACGCTAGGTTTCCAAACTGTCGTATAACTGCGGCAAATATTACGTAGGAGAAACAGGGAACTCGGTCACTCAGAGAACAAAAACCTGCCTGCAAAGCTAAACGAGACGGGTTATTACGGACGAAAGTGAGCGACATAATAACGAAACACACGAAAAAACCTTGCTTCAGCAAAATCAAGGATCAATGCAATAAAACGTCCATCCAGCAAGAGCACGTTTCTGATAGCGAGTGTACTGGCACTATCAAAGAAAGACACTGGCTGCTCGGCCATTTCAAGGAGGCATTAATCATCCAGTCCTGTGACGATGAATACAAACTGGATGAGTGTGGCCGCCCAGAAACGTTTTATACTCTGCAGAACGGACCAAAAGCTTGCCACCTTGCTCCAAGCCTACCAACAGTTACGTACAACAATAATAACCCCCAAAATTGTACTAACCTCCTACCCTGAAGAAGGCTCGTGAGACATGAACCAAAACGTCGGTATTGGTCAATCATCCGATTGACCATATTTTGGCGTTGTGCATTAACAGTACAGTTTTATGCTGTTTTTCGGCATGACCACTAACTTACAAACGAAGTATGAAAGATTCTTTGTTAAATCAGAAACAAAAATGCGGTATGAAGATCTGCACTCAGATGTATATGCACTTAGCTGGTTCGGTTTCGACAGAGGCAAGTCGCGTGTTTGTTGAAAGATGACAAACAGTCATGAAGTAAAGCAAAAAAACATGACGTGAAATCAAAAACAAGAATTTTACTATTGAGTGTTCGAATCGGTTAAAAAGTTCAGAACTTGAAAATCACTGAGAAAAGAAAACGTTTCGCGGAGGTAAAAGTTTATTTTCGTAACGTCGCAGAAAACGAACTGTGCCTGCCAAGTTACTTTAGGAAAACAACACTACACATCAAAACGGGCTATTCATGCCAAGTTTTGTATCAAACGACAATCGTCTTCGTCGTTGATCTCGTCGATACTTTTTGATTTCGAGCAGCTTCGAGAATTCGTCAACCACAAGAACCGGAAGTGACAGCAATATACCGACCACTGGCATATACCACGGAACTTCACTGGCCAAGCTGCTAGTGGAAGTTCGGAGATTAACCGTAACAATGACCGCAACAAAATGAATGACCAATATCAACAGAACCGTAACAGTCCAGACGCAATTACAAAACGGTAAAGTCTCAGAGAAAAGTTTGTTGTAATTAACGAAACTTGCCGAAATTGCACAAAGGTA